GCTTCCTCCCACACTCCAAAGACATACTGGTAGGTTAATTGGCTCCTGTCTAAATTGGCCCTAGTATATGTATGTATGAATGTGAGTTAGGGACCTTAGATTGAAAGCTCCTCCTTGAGGGCAAGGACTCAAGTGAATGTATAATACATATGTATGTAAAATGCTGCATAAATTGATGGTGCTCTATCAGTACCTAAAATAAATACTTTTTTTTTTACTACTTGCAACCAGGAGAGGGAGCACTAAGCAAACTTACATACCAGCTGAAGTTTTGGATAGTGGCTTTCTCAGTTAAACAGATGCCAGAGAAAGTAAGAGGAGGGCAACTCTACCCTGAGTGCGCTAACAGAGACACTGGGGGTTATTTACTAAAACTAGAGAAAGCAAAATCTGGTGCAGCTCTGCATAGAAACCAATCAGCTTCCAGTTTTATTGCCAAAGCTAAATTGAACAAGCTGAAGTTAGAAGCTGATTGGCTACCGTGCACACCTGCACCAGATTTTGCACTCTCCAGTTTAGTAAATCTCCCCCAGTGCTATCTTAATTAGATACAGCGGGTAATACAGTTTCAGAGAAAGTATAGGCAGTGCTGGGCTTTCTAATATGCCCATGCTTTGAAAGCACAGAGGCGTGTTTATATCCTATAATAAATGTTTATTTTGTAAAATAAAAATCTAAAACAAAAAAAGAAAAATATAAATATACAGTATTTAACCACTGCAAGTCCAGACACTTAACCCCCCTTCCTGTCCAGGCCATTTTTAAGCTTTCAGCGCTATCACACTTTGAATGACAATTGAGCGGTCATGCAACACCGTACCCATATAAATTGTTTAGCATTTTTTTGAGACAGATAAAACTTTATTTTGGTGGTATTTATTCACCTCCGGGATTTTTATTTTTTGCTATATAAATGAAAGTCCAAAAATTTTGAAAAAAAGTGTTTTTCTTATAAAATTTTGCAAATAAATAATCTTTCTTCATAAATCTTGGTCAAAATTTATTCAGTTATCTTTTTAGTAAAAAAAAAAAATAACCAAAATTAGTTTATAACCAACAATTATATTTTTTTTACATTTTTATATTATTATTTATGGGTTTTTTTTTTTAACATTCTGTCACCCTAGCAGTACAGTGTCACCATAGTGACACTGTACTACTTGTGGGGGGTTATGAAGGTTTTTTTTTTTTTTTATTTTCACACTGATTGCTTTTACACCCATAAAGGCTGTAAAAGCAATAATTTCTTTCTCTCTGGCTGCATTCTTGCAGCCATTGAGAAATACTGTGTGAGTTGTGATTGGTCACAGCTTATCACATGGTACAAGGCTGTTGTGAATAGCCTTGTACCATGTGACCTCTGATTATTCACAGATTTCACACGTAGTGAGCAATGATGTCAGAAGTGACATCTTGCTTACTACTCTTCATGTAATCACTGATTGGCAAATCAGTGATCACATGATCGGGACCTCGCACAGAGGTCCCGTACAACGATCGATGTTCCACTGTGTCCGGAGGACACAGCGGGCACCGGATTGCGGTGCTGCTGCGCGCTCCCAGGAAGCGCGCACAAGCAGGGGGCAGGGAGTCCCTGCACTGCCACCGTCCGGCCATTTATATACAACGGCCAAACGGGAAGTGGTTAAGGCCTCACTCAAGCTTTGGTGTGGCAGAAACATGGTCACAGTGATCACATGTGTAGCACCCTCCTGGATAGCTGTGGTGATAGTCAGAAGGAGGTCAAATACCAAATACGGTACAGAGCTGAGAGGCTTTGACGGTCAGTTCCCTGATACATCCCCCTGCTCTAGAATCCAGGAAAAGATTCTAGAAGCAACGGGCGGGGGTGAGAAGGGGCTGGTTTGCACATTTGGCTAATTCCAAAGCAGGAGGCTTGGCATGAAACTAGGGCAGCCTTCAAATATGACAAAGCTTGCTCAGTAGCAGGAGAGTTCAGGTGAAAGAAAGATGGAGAAGTGAGGCTGGAGAGCAGGAACCCAGGAAGGGACACAGATGGTGAGGGGCTCACATACAGGCGGAGGATCTTGGAAGGAGGAAAGCTTTACTGTCCCCCAGAGCGAGGACCACCTATGCAGCAGGAAAGAAGTGGCCCAGCAGAAGGCCGGAGAGCAGCCGCTGATCCAGCAGCAGCTAGGAGAAGAACTGAGTGAGTAGACCTTACCCCATTGACCAGTACGGGGAAGAAGCATTCTGGTAGGAAGCTGGATTTGCTACTACCCGTGACTGTCCACACTGGGGTGACTGGCACTTGATCCCCTGCCCAAGGATTCACCCAGTACAGCCAGATGAGGAGAGGATTCATCTAGGGTCTGGAGTGGTACAACAGGAGATGATGGCTAGCTCTCCAGAAGAGATATTTTTGATGTGAAGGCTTGTACATAGTTCCAGGGAGTTTGTCCTCATTTTATTATTTATTCATTTATTTCAGGTACTTCTATACCGCCGTCAATTTATGCAACGCTTTACATATACAGTTGTGTTCAAAATAATAGCAGTCAGACATCACTAACCTGATCAATCACTGTTTTTGGTAGAAATGATATTTCTACATGGCAAATAATTTACAAGCAGGTGTAGTTGAGTAATAGAAATCCAACAGACCCAACAGTCAAGACATGCATGCTGCTGATTCTGTGTAATTGAATCACTAATTGAAAGGGGCATGTTCAAAATAATAGCAGTGTGGAGTTCTATTAGTGAGGCCATTTATTCTTTGAAAAACAGGTGGCAATTATTGCCCTTATTTAAGGAAGGAAGGCAGCAAATGTTGTACATGCTGGTTGCAGTGCATTTCTCTCTGAAATTCTGTGGAAAATGAGTCGTTCCAGACATTGTTCAGAAGAACAGCGTACCTTGATTAAAAAGTTGATTGGAGAGGGGAAAACATATAAAGAAGTGCAGAAAATGATAGGCTGCTCAGCTAAAATGATCGCAAATGCTTTAAAATGGCAACCAAAACCTGAAAGACGTGGAAGAAAGTGAAAAAACTACCATTCGAATGGATAGAAGAATAGCCAAAATGGCAAGGAGCCAACAATCAGCTCCAGGAAGATCAAAGAAGGTCTAAAGTTCCCTGTGAGTACTGTTACAATTAGAAGACGCCTATGTGAAGCCAAGCTATCTGCAAGAAGCCCCCGCAAAGTCCCACTGTTGAAAAAAAGACATGTGCTGAAGAGGTTACAATTTGCCAAAGAGCACATTGACTGGCCTAAAGAGAAATGGTGCAACATTTTGTGGACTGATGAAAGTAAGATTGTTCTTTTTGGGTCTAGTGGCCGGAGACAGTTTGTCAGACGATCCCCAAACACTGAATTCAAGCCACAGTACACTGTGAAGACAGTGAAGCATGGCGGTGCAAGCATCATGATATGGGGATGTTTCTCATACTACGATGTTGGGCCTATTTATGCATACCAGGGATCATGGATCAGTTTGAATACATCAGAATACTTGAAGAGGTCATGCTGCCTTATGCTGAAGAGGAAATGCCCTTGAAATGGGTGTTCCAACAAGACAACGACCCTAAACACACCAGTAAACATGCAACATCTTGGTTCCAGACCAGCAAGATTGACGTTATGGAGTGGCCAGCCCAATCCCCGAATCTTAATCCAATAGAAAACTTGTGGGGTGACATCAAAAATGCAGTTTCTGAGGCAAAAGCAAGAAGTAGAGAGGAACTGTGGAATGTAGTCCAATCATCCTGGGCTGGAATACCTGTTCACAGGTGCCAGAAGTTGGTTGACTCCATGCAACACAGATGTACAGCAGTTCTCAGAAACAGTGCTTATACAACTAAATATTCATTAAGTGATTCAAAGGAAAGCAACATCTTCAAACATTTTTCAGTTTATATAGTGAATGTTTGAGTTTGTAAAGAAGAATACAAACACAGCTATTTTTTTTGAACAGTCTAATATTCACTTTTCTTCAATTTTTTTAGAGGAGCAACACAAATTTGATCTATTTTTCTTCATGTTTTGATTTGGAATAGAATGTGTAGTGTTCCCAATGCATTTGTGTGTATGGAAATAAAAGCTGTTAGAAGGATTTTGAACTTTAATCACTTTTTTCATCACACTGCTATTATTTTGAACACAACTGTATATTGTACATTCATCAGTCCCTAACCCTCTTGGGGCATACAATCTAAGATCCCTAACTTACATTCATGCATACAAATACTAAGGCCAATTTAGACAGGATCTAATTAACCTACCAGCATGGCTTTGGAGAGTAGGAGGAAACCGGAGTGTGGGAGGAAACTGGAGTCCCCGGAGGAAACCCACGCAGGCACAGGGAGAACATGGAAACTCCAGGTAGGAGGTGCCGTGGCTGGGATTCAAACCAACTACCCTAGTTGCCATTCCCTTTGGGTATCCCATACATCCCTTACCCCATCCAGGGTCAATTCCATAATAAATTCCAAAAAAAAACAGCTCAAGGACTGGTTACTGTCTCCTGGATGCAAGTCTGTGTAGAAAATTGTGTTGCCTGGCCGTGCAGGATTATAGGGGGACCCAAATCTCTAGCGACCCCTAAGGGGATAGTTCTACACATGGTACCGACTACAGCCAGTACTGTGATCTGTCATCGACTGTGTCCAGTTGACTCAGCGGCTGACAGATTGCATCACAAAGCGACCAGTGCAGCCTACACAAGGCACGTCCTGAGGAGGATGGCGAATTTCCTGAATGGCCATTGTTTTGTCTATAGGCTGGGTGGGTGGAGATTTTGTGTTGGGCAGCATTCATAGTCGTCTAGGGTGGCGTGTGGCCCTCGGGACGCAGGTTGGACACCCCTTCTGTAGTCCTTTTAAAAATGCACTGGATGAAAATGTAAAGATGAGAAGAGTGCCGTAAAGATTATGGAGCCGATCTCATTGTGCTTACCATGGGTTGTTTCTTTGCAGTCTACACCATACAGGATGAACCAGCCCTTACTGAACAAAGAAACCGATTCCCGGGAGGACAGACTTACATGTGAATGGCCGCCAGCAGCTCCCTCTGGTGTTGCCGTATTTGGGTGCTGTCCCGTTGCTTAGTGTGTTTGTGGAGCAGCCAGGCCTCTCTGAGCACATTCGCCGCTGCGCATTTAATCTACAAAACAAAAAGTGTTCACAGTTTATCCAGTTTTAGATGACTTTTAAATAGACTGAGCATCAGATATATGTAGAGTATATATGCACAGTAATGGGTTACACTTCCAGCAATGTGCTTCTAACAGAGATCACAGTACCCCCCCGACAATGCCACCTTCTCTCCGGAAGGACAGAGCCATTTTTGTTCAGGCATCATCCAGAGTCACCATCCTGGACTGAGATACTGGCTCAGAGATGACACACTCATGTAAATCCTGGTGCCTGTGCACCTCTTGTCTGTGTTCACAAATGTCGAACACAGGTCAGCCCTTTCTGCAACCTCTCACTTGCTACAATACTGCAGTTCGATCACTAAGGGGAGAGGAGACTGAGGAAATGCTTCTTTCAGCCTGCAGCAGAATGATTGGGCAACCTTAGGCAAAGTGACTTGCTAGGGGTACCGCTACCACCCAAAGCAATATTTTTTTCTTTTTTTTTTGCATACATTACAATTTGCATTTTTCAACCTTGTATCTCTATTTTTGTTGAGAAAAAAAAACATTTCCCCCCATGTACAAGTTGCAGATTCCTATCTTTTGTTATTCTGAAGAAATAGCTGTTTGTTTGTCTGTATCCTTGCCCAAAGTGAATCTGTATAGGAGTGATTTTAAAATTATCAATCAGCTGCTGCACTTGCAGGGTTCTAATGAGGAAAGTGGTAGGGTCTGCATCCCTTTAGATGTGATTTAACTTTGGGAGTATCTCACCAAAAATGACGTTTGCGTTGCAAGGGATGCTCAAACCCTGACTTGTATCTTAGTGCAGACTTCTGGGAAAATCAGTGAATCAATCACACAAGTAGAAAATGACATTTCTGGGGAGGGAGCTCTGTACACCATCTGTGTACAGAACACCTCCAGGTTGCCATATTGTAATGCATTTTACAGAAAAGTACAGCACTGCAGATTGCAAAGGAGAGGTAATTTAATACATTTAATTACAATATTGCTTGTGTCGCAATTGCTATATAAATTTTTTTATTTTTTTTTTTTTGCCCATGATAGTGCAGTTACTTTAAAACCACGTGAAGATTGTATATTTTCTGAAAGCAGATGCCCTGTAGAATAAAAAGATGGTTGTTGCACTATATGCAACTCTTTATCAAACACAATATAATATCCAATGTTTTGGTAAAATATAACACAGGGGTAAGCAACCTTTGAGAGAAAATCACTGGGGAAATCACTGGGGTTCGGCGCCCTTTTTTTAAGAAATTAACTAGCAAGGCCTAACTGAATAGTGAGGAAAACATAGAAAAATATAATAAAACAAATGCCACTGTACAAATCAGGGCAGTGGACGGTATCAGGGCAGTGGATGGTGTCAGGGCAGGGCAGTGGATGGTGTCAGGGCAGTGGACGGTGTCAGGGCAGTGGACGGTATCAGGGCAGTGGACGGTGTCAGGGCAGTGGACGGTATCAGGGCAGTGGACGGTGTCAGGGCAGTGGACGGTGTCAGGGCAGTGGATGTCAGGGTCAGGGCAGTGGAGTGGACGATGTCAGGGCAGTGGACGATGTCAGGGCAGTGGACGGTGTCAGGGCAGTGGGTGTCAGGGCAGTGGATTTATCACAGTGGACGGTGTCAGGGCAGTGGACGGTATCAGGGCAGGGATGTTATCGGGGTGGAGTGGACGGTGTCAGGGCAGTGGACGGTATCAGACGATATCAGGGCAGTGGATGATATTACCCCCCCCCCCCCCAACAGCAGTGTCCTCTGCTCCCCCTTTCCCACCTATAGCAGTGTCCTCTGCCCCCCCTCCCCCTTTTCCCCTCAAAATGTACACATATAATTATATAAAATATCATCACAGTTTTATTCGAACAGAATATAAAGACAAACTACATATAATAAAATGATTGAAAAATCATGATATACACAGTACACTTGTTGCTAGCAATAATAACATGGATTTAGGTCTGGACGTTGATTAGCCCATCCTAACACATGCTTTGATCTAAACCATTTCCATTGTAGCTCTGGCTGTATGTTTAGGGTTGTTGTCCTGCTGGAAGGTGAACCTCCTCCCCAGTCTCAAGTCTTTTTCAGACTCTTAACAGGTTTCCTTCTAAGATTGCCCTGCATTTGGCCCCATCCATCTTCCTATCGACTTAACCAGCTTCCCTGTCCTTGCTGAAGAAAAGCATCCCCACAACATAATGCTGCCACCATCATGTTTCACAGTGGGGATGGTGTGTTCAGGGTGATGTGCAGTGTTAGTTTTCCGCCACACATAGCGATTTGCTTTTAAGCCAAAAAGTTAAATTTTGGTCTCATCTGACCAGAGCACCTTCTTCCATGTTTGCTGTGTCCCTTACATGGCTTCTCACAAACTGCAATCAGGACTTCCTATGGCTTTCTTTCAACAATGGCTTTCTTCTTGCCACTCTTCTATAAAGGCCAGATTTGTGGAGTGTATGACTAATAGTTGTCCTGTGGACAGATTCTCCCACCTGAGCTGTGGATCTCTGCAGCTCCTCCAGAGTTACCATGGGCCTCTTGGCTGCTTCTCTGATTAATGCTCTCCTACCCCGGCCTGTCAGTTTAGGTGGACAGCAATGAATTGGTAGGTTTGCAGTTGTGCCATACTCTTTCCATTATTGGATGATGGATTGAACAGTGCTCCATGAGATGTTCAAAGCTTGGGATATTTTTTTATAACCTAACCCTGTTTAAACTTCTCCACAACATTATCCCTGACTTTTCTGGTCTGTTCCTTGGCCATGATGCTGTTTGTTTACTAATGTCCTCTAACAAACCTCTGAGAGCTTCACAGGACAGCTGTATTTATACTGAGATTAAATTACACACAGGTGGACTCTATTTACTATTTAGATGACTTCTGAAGGCACCAATTGGTTCCACTAGATTTTAGTTAGGGTTATCAAAGTGAAGGGGACTGAATACAAATGCACGCCACACTTTTCAGATATTTATTTATAAAAAATGTTGAAAATCATTTATCATTTTCCTTCCACTTCACAATTATGTGCCGCTTTGTGTTGTTCACATAAAATCCCAATAAAATACATTTACGTTTTTTCGTTGTCACATGACAAAATACTTTTTGAAGGCACTGTATATCTCACCTTACTACAGCTGTATACACAGCCTCACCTTCTTGTATATTTGAAATTTATTGCTCATCAGTTTAGAGTTAAACATGACATATGGCCTTAGAATTTATTGCTCTCACTCCAGTGTTTGCGGCGATACCTCACATGCAATCGCTGTCTACATACACATGCATTGCTTTATTATTATCACACATGTTATGCCTCATGCATACTGGGGCTTTTTCAAATGCTTTTCTCCTGGCAAGAGAAAAGCAGCTTCAAAAATGCACCTAAGCGTGTTTTTGCAAATGTGTTTAGGTATGTCAAGCGCTTGGTCATTTATTTAATTCATTGATCAGAAAATGTAATTTATTCTGTCCATTGAAATTAAAACAAATGCTCAAGCGCTAAACGCGCCTAGCGCTTAGGTTTGTTTACATGTGTTTACATGCATTTAGGCATTTTTTTTAGCCAAAAAACACTCCTCTCCTAAATGCACCAGTGATGGTTTGTTTTTCTGCCTCTAAACTCCCCTCCATAAAGCCCATGCACAAATAGGCATTTCCAGGAGTTTAGAGGCAGAAAAACAAACCATTTGTGCATGGTCTTTATGGAGGGGAGTTTAGAGGCAGAAAAGTAAAAAAAAAAAACATCAAATGCCCAAAAAACGGGCGTTTCTGAGCTCATGTGTGCATGAGGCCTTATACAGTAGCATTGGGCAGGTGACAGCTATTCTTTATGGTGTTATCAGGGGTCTATTAGATCCCATATGTCTCTCCTGCCATCCACAGCAGCTCATCAAACTGCATCATTGCATGTCTCTTCTGCAATAAAAAGCCTGTCTTCTCACAGTTTTTTTTATTACAGACTTAAGTTCCACTTTAATGAACTCACATGTGGGAGTTATGTAATCCCGGCCCAGTCAAACAAGCTGGCTTAAGACCCCAGACCTGGAAGAATCACGAGAGAAGATGTTGGCCCTGGCAAAGAAACTCATGGAAGTCACTGCACTTGAGAGGCGGTGCGTATTCATCCTGGCCCAGCCGCCTAAGATGGTTGAAGACCCCCAAACTTAAAAGAATCATGAGAGAAGATATTGGCTCTGGCAAGGGAGCTCATGGACATTACTTTCCTTGAGGGGAGGTGAGTATTCATCCTAGCCCAGCCAACCAAGATGGTTGAAGACCCCAAACCAGAAAGAATCATGGGAGAAGATGCTGGCGCTAGCAAGAGAACTCATGGACATCTCTTTGCTTGAGGGCAGGTGGGTAAACACCCGTTTTTTTGGGCATTGATGTTTTTTTTTACTTTTCTGCCTCAAAACTCCCCTCCATAAAGACCATGCACAAATGGTTTGTTTTTCTGCCTCTAAACTCCCCTCCATAAAGCCCATGCACAAATAGGCATTTCCAGGAGTTTAGAGGCAGAAAAACAAACCATTTGTGCATGGTCTTTATGGAGGGGAGTTTAGAGGCAGAAAAGTAAAAAAAAACATCAAATGCCCCAAAAAACGGGTGTTTCTGAGCTCATGTGTGCATGAGGCCTTATACAGTAGCATTGGGCAGGTGACAGCAATTCTTTATGGTGTTATCAGGGGTCTATTAGATCCCATATGTCTCTCCTGCCATCCACAGCAGCTCATCAAGCTGCATCATTGCATGTCTCTTCTGCAATAAAAAGCCTGTCTTCTCACAGTTTTTTATTACAGACTTAAGTTCCACTTTAATGAACTCACATGTGGGGAGTTATGTAATCCCGGCCCAGTCAAACAAGCTGGCTTAAGACCCCAGACCTGGAAGAATCACGAGAGAAGATGTTGGCCCTGGCAAGGAAACTCATGGAAGTCACTGCACTTGAGAGGCGGTGCGTATTCATCCTGGCCCAGCCGCCTAAGATGGTTGAAGACCCCCAAACTTAAAAGAATCATGAGAGAAGATATTGGCTCTGGCAAGGAGCTCATGGACATTACTTTCCTTGAGGGGAGGTGAGTATTCATCCTAGCCCAGCCAACCAAGATGGTTGAAGACCCCAAACCAGAAAGAATCATGGGGAGAAGATGCTGGCGCTAGCAAGAGAACTCATGGACATCTCTTTGCTTGAGGGCAGGTGGGTATTCATCCCAGCCCAGCCAACCAAGATGGTTGAAGACCCAAAACCTGAAAGCTGGTTGAAGATGTTGGTGCTGTCAAGGCCACTCACAGATGTCACTTTGTTTCATTTAATTGAGGGTTTAGTTCTGCTTTAATGAAGAAAATATAAATCATTCCTGTTGTGAGTTCCATCTCAATTTGTAAGCAACCAATGGTGTTATGTAAGTGCTACATAACATTCAAATTTTTGCACTACAGTAAGTAACTAAAATCTGGAGATTGGGTTTAGACTGCTGAGCTCCAGGTTATAACCAGCTCATGCCATAAAGCACAGCCAGCCTAATGACCCAAGCCAGCTTGGTGACCCAACTTTTCAACAGCTAGAACAGCTCCCTGCAAACCAGCATGTAATTTGACAGTGAAGAAGCAGCAACAGCCTAATTACTTCCACCTGATTAGGCAAAATTACACTTTCTTCTTAATTCATGATAATAGGTGAGCGCCTATTCACTAATATGAGCACTTTGAGCTCATTCTTCTCTACATAGTATATCTGGAAGCCTTTGTTTTCCTAAAGAATTTGCTGCGGATCATTCTAAGGCCTCTGAAAAAGACTTTCCCTTGTGGATCTGACTTACCAGGATTTATAAAGGCCTTTTTTCCTGTATGGAAAGCTAAATTGCTTCCTATGAGGAAGCTGAGGTCTTGTGACCTGTCTATAATAAGAAACCAGAGGTCAAGCCCTGATTCTTGGCCTCCCAGTATTGTGTGAATATGAAACGCACCTTGGGGATCTGCAGGAGATCTGGAAATGGATAAACAGTCTCCACTGCCTATATTATTAGAATGCCAAGGCCGTTACCAGGAAGCCACTGCCATGCTGGCCCCCATTCAGATAGGACTTTCCATAACGGCTTTGTTTTCATACAATGTTACCATACCTGGGAACTGTCAGGTCATGACATCTAGGCACATCTTAGTGGTGTTTGCAGATCTTTCAATATGATCCATAAAGTGAAAGTAGTCAATTCTCAAATATCTCTCTCTACTTTTAATCACCAATGTTTAAACTATTCTGAAGAGCTTGCTTAAAGTCTGCCCCCCTCCCCCCACCAACTAAACCATACCCCATACCCTGTCATAGATTTAAAAAAAATGCTAATCTACATGGCCCGAATACCTATCTAAATCCACAGGCACGTGACACAACAGTTCCCAATTTTCTTTTCTAGACAGATGTGAGAGGGTCCTTCTTTGATGGCCTCCTGGTGAAGTGAACATCCTCCTAGGGGTACATCAGCGGGTTCATCACAAGGACTTTAAGACTCCAGCTGTGCCATGATGACTAGAAGTGGCAACAAGACTGGTCACCAAGATGGATTACCGGTTTTTACTTTTCGAAAAGGTGGTATGGAGGGTCATGTGATGGCGGAGTCAGATAAGTCATAAAAGGGCTTAGAAAGGGTTTTAAAAAAGGAATTACAATCCTAAAGCTCAAACCTCCCGGCCTCTCCAAGACCCAATTCGAGTGACTAATTCATGTTCTAACAGCAGCCAAACAATTGCCAAGGCCTGAAAATCACTCACTCTTTCCTTGACTGAAAACAAGTCAAGGATCAATTCAGTCATGCTTCATGAAAAGACAGCCGCTAGACTAAATGACACAATTGACAAGTACTTGCTAGCTGGTATCCCTAGAGTGAGTCTGCGTGATACACCTACCTTGCCTTAACCTCTGCTCCCTTACCCCCCCAATCTCCATGTACAATACTAATACATAGTCTCTGCTATACTCCTGCCCAATTACTGGTCTTAACCTTCTAATGGTTCAAAGTCCCCATCGGGCCATCCCAACTCAATTTTCTACATTAGTGATTCCTGTTCCCTTTCTGCGTGTCGGCGGAGCCTCCTCGCCTTGCATGCGGGAGTAACTCAACATTAAGGCAGTACCCCATCTTAAAGATAAGCCATACACTGTGTGCAGAGTTCCTCGCTGCTTGTATGTTTAACAATTAATAAACACATTAAACAAGAACAAAAAAAAGATTAAAGTATAACCAAGAACAAAACTTTTTTTTTTAGTTTTGGGTAGAGTGCAGATGGGTTAGAACACCTGTCAGGCTATATTGCTGACTGTGCCCCCGCTAGGGAGATTCATCTTCTCTATTTGTCCAGTTTACCATTACCATTGAAAGTGAAAGTAAAAGAAAAACACAAATTTTGGGTTGTCCTCAGAAATGTAATAGAGGGGAAATGGGGACACTGGTTCTGGTGACCTGGAAGGAATTCCCTTAATTTTCAGGGATTTCTTCCACTTCCTGTTTGGCTATGGGACAGGAAGTGAAGGTAAATCTCCCCAATGGGACACAGATGGTGAAAAACAAATATGACAAGGGTTATACCAGGGGAAGACTGACAACTCATGGGGCCCCCGGGCAATAGGGGATCATGGGGCCCCTGTGTCCTTGACCAAACTCAAAAAAGCCTATGAAAAAGGTACCAGGGGCATCTCATGGGGCCCCCTACTGACCCTGGGCCCTCAATAGGGGATCATGGGGCCCCTGTGTCCTTGCCCAAACTCAAAAAAGCCTATGAAAAAGGTACCAGGGGCATCTTATGGGGCCCCCTACTGGCCCTTGGGCAGAGCCCGAGTTTCCAAATGGTCAGTCCGCCCCTGGTTATAACCTTACCTTGCTCTATCTAAAATGATAAAAAAAAATTTTGCCTGTAGTTCTTCTTTAAGTGGGAATGGTGTGGGTGGGAGAGATAGGTATTGCAGCAAATTTTACCAAAGGTGGTCTTTAAAGCTAAAGTCTACGAAAGCATATGACCAGACAGGTAAATACATGAAAGAGAGACAAAGAATTTATATTCCTGTCCAGCCAGTCCTGAGAATTACACAGTCCTTCCAGAGAGCACAGACAGCCTGGTGACCTCACTTTTCTCTGCTGCAGTTATGCAATAGAGCCTGGTCACTTTCCTGCCCCAGCTTGTAATTGGACAGTAAAAGAGCAGCAGAACACTGCACGTCTCTGATTATTTCATTATGATTCAGTTGCAAATGTCTAATTTGTGTTGTGTGCCCACCTGCTTCATGTAGTGTATGTCCATCATAAAGTTGTGCACGTGCTTTTCAGCCTTGGTGAACTCCAGTTTCTGAGCAGCTACGGCGACTATCAGAGCTGTACACCCAACTCCCTGGAACAAACATAAAAGGCAAAGTGAGTCAACACATGGGCAAGGGCTTACCTGCTGGTAGAATACGGCAGGAAAGGTTTTGGTTTCCAAAGCAAACGCACCAGAAGTGGAATTTCAGTTTTGTCTGGTTGCTGACAAGTTGATATATATGCTGTATATTATATATTCAGACTTTTTTTTATATAATAAAAACAAAATGCCAGTGATTCATTTCACAGTTCAGCCAATGCCCAAAATACTCCCTAACATCAAAGTGTAAACTCTCGTGTATGACTAACTGGCATGATACATATTTGGCAGGTCAGTGACTCACTCCAGGAACCACAGACATAAAATTCAGACCATCCATGTATACACATACCACACACCATGCACTATGCTGAAGCATAAGAGTGCCCATAGTAACATCCCAGGGGTAATTTCTGCATATGTTCTGTATGGTAGTTTTGTGCCATATTCATCTAGTACATTGGTTGTAAATCTTTCTCAGTATGGCAGTGCACAACACTCTATGGGGTCTACGTATATGTATTAAAAAAAAAAAAATCACTGTGCGAATGCTTTGGCATAGCTGTATTTCACTGCCATATTCTGATTTTTAAAAATTTGCTGTGAAAATGTCTCAGGCATTCACATAGTCTTCACGAATAATCCTTGAAATTTGTCTAATGCTTTTACTCTCAATAATCAACAACTCCATCTAGAGGCCATAATGCCATATTTTCCTCAAATACTCCAATCCAATGACCACTAGATGGAGCTGATGATCACAGGAAATACATTTATTACACAAATTACAGAGATCATTTGTGATGGCTGTGCGAATGCTAGAGAAGCCTCTTTTTTTTTTAATGTCTAAACTCAAAATTATTTGGGTCGCCTATTCCCTGCCGGCAAATTTTAACCATTGCCTAATAGACCTGTGATTGTCACATGGCCTAGCTGTATGGTTTATGACAACTCAATAAGGCTTTGAGGCATTTACTGTCTCCATACACTTTCTCACTTGGTTTCCCCTCTCTACCCACTCTGAACTGCCCCCTTCATCCTCTTAGGAGGGGATTCTGAATACTGTATAGAGCAGTGCCAGAAAATGACACCTCTCTGAAGCAGTCTCCTCAAAGTCTATAGGGTCACATACACCCTGCTGGCGAATTTTGACCATCGCCCAATAGACCTGTGATTCTCACATATGGCCTAACTACATGGCTTATGACAACCCAGCAATGTTCCAATGCACTTTCTCTCTCATTACTCTTTAACACTGGGTTTGCCATCTCTTCCCTATGTATCTACTCTGAACTGCCCCCTTCTACCTCCTATGGCAGAGGGTGGATCCTAAATACTTTAGAGACCAGTGCCAAGCCATGACACCTCTCTAAGTAGCAATCTCCTGAAACTGCATTCACACTTGAGTGTTTTTGTTGCTTGGAACTTGGAGCTCGAAGCTACAAAAAAGCTCAAACGTAAAAAATCCATTGTTCTCTATGGTGCCTGTTCACACCTGATCTTGTGAACATGCACCATAGAGAACAATTAATTTTTTAAGTTTGAGCATTTTTGGAGCTTCGAGTCCAGGAGGAAGCAGAACCTTGATGCCATGGGATTACAGGAAGTAGGCCGAATGACTCTGGGCATCATTCAAACCAGTGTGTGGTTCCATATTGTGGACCTGTGAGTTTGCTGGAACTGGCTGAATATAGAAGCTGAACCTGCTTTCTTATTTTTACAAGATGTTTTTTTCAATGTTATGCCCAACCTGAAGTTGGGCTTTAACATCAAAAACATAGCTGTCTATGGTGGAGGCCAACACAGACATGACATATCCTCTTTTTCCATAAGGCTCCAACTCTCCTTTAATAGGACTTGCGGAAGATGCTAATAGTATTACAACTCGCAATGTCTAATGTCATAGAATGAGATGTTTCTAATATCTAGTAAAAAAGGTTACAGAATAACTTTGTCCTCCTGGTGCCTACAGCTTTACTTTCTGTGCTCTTTCCACCCACTCCTTGGTCTCACCATGACTCCAGTGAACAGGCAGACCATCTTGCCGCACACACTATGTGGTACCATGTCTCCATAGCCAATGGTCAGGAAGGTGATTGGGATGAGCCACATGCTGTCTGTCATATTACCGCTGCCAGGAGAATCTCCCCTGCCAAGAGAAACAGAGGGTATTATACATAATATTGTTATAGTATTTTATTATTAAATATATACTATATATTTGTAAAAATACACATTATCTACTCTATATCATCAAATGTTTCTGGACACCTGGACTTCATACACACACTATATGCCTAATGGCCCTCCAAATAAATGAGTTTAGGTGTCCCAATGAAGAATACTGTAACTGCTACAGCAAATGAGAAGTATGGCCAATGCTTCTCTTTTTGGTCACAGGAATGCACTTACTGTACATTTGCACTCCTGTTACCTAGAATCAGCCGACAGTGGGTTAACGTCCACTGTCGGCCAATGTCACAGAGCCAGAGAAGGAGAGAAGCGCCTCTAAGTGCAATATGTCTATTTATTTAGGTATATAGGTAGGAACACATAGATAATTAGAAGCATAAAAACCGTGGTTAATTGGTGACCAACAGTAAGGTGGGGATCCATGGTCAAGAGCTGTCGTCTGTGTGGGGTATGGAGAGGTCAGTGTGCTGCTGGAGCAGCGTGGTGGCTGGAGGGGAACAGCCTATTTGGAAGCCTTGCCCTCAGTGCTACATGGACCCCCACACTCATCTTCCTTATACAGCCATAGCTACCACCATTACCCCATACCAGGATTACCCAGGACTTCTAACAGTGCTTGCGCTTATTACACCCCCCTCATTTCTTCTTAATGTCACAGCACCACTCCAGGCTCTAGAAGGATTTCTACAATAATGTTGGGATCTACTGAGCCTCTCCTGTCCCCTCCACAGCCCGGTGCTCCAGTGAGCCCTGGAGGGGCCGAGAAGAGAGCGGTAACTGACAGTCACCACTTTCTGCTCAGAGAGGACTGAGACCTGAGCGATCAGCAGGCATGCGATCACCCAGTTCTCAGGCTTAGAACTAACATACGACAGCTGAAGCATCACACTCATGCTTCAGAAGTTAGGTGAGTATAGATGTCTGTTTTTGTTTTCCCACACTTCTCCCTTAAAGACATATCAAAGACATAATGTGCTTTCAATCTTGCAGTAAGTGCCCCACTGCGAATCAGAATGTGCCTGCCCCCTTATGTCCCCTGTGCGTCATCCCATAAAGACATAAGTCGTGGAGGAACTTGATGAGTGCCGATTCTGTAATCCAGTTTCAGTGTGAATTGAAAAGCCTATTTCAGTGGTTCCGGAAAATCGGCCGCACAAACTGTGCTTTTTCAATCTGCACCTAATCCGGACCGCACTACTCAGAAATCAGACAGACTCTTTTTCAATCTGCACCGCCAGTGCACCGGACATACAGTATGTGAACAGGCACCATAAGAAGTAATGGTAATTCACATGCCATGTGGAATGGATGTGGTTCAAACCACATCCAATCTGCATATATGTGAACTGGCACAACCTCAACCCCACTGTACACCTTTGAAATTAATTAGAATTCCAATCAGTCTTCACATTCAACTTCAGTACCTAACCTCCAATAGCCCTTTAGTTGAATGGGAACAAATTCCCACATACACTCACCAAATTCTTTTGAAAAGCCTTCCCACAAGAATTAAGGTTGGTTTAGATTCACATTGCTCTCTGTTAGAAGGCACTTTTAGTTTATTGGCCAATTTTTTTTTCATAACAGTTTTGATTTATAAAAGCAAATTCAGCACATCTCACCTCTCACATACAGACAAGATCCAAGAGGACACAACCCATAGACTGATGGTCAATGTGAGCAGGACTCGGCCTGGACAGGTGTTCATGAGGATCTTCATGACGAACGGATACTGAAATTTGATTTTATTGAGGGACCCTATACTTCGATAAGAGGCGTCTACTAGCACCTTGCTGTGGAGTAGTACAGTCCTAGGTATTAGGTAGACCCTTAAGAACATCATGATGGACAAAAAAATGTCCAGGTCACTGAGGAAAAACATAGGTTCCTTGGCAGAGTTTGACCCTCCCTGTCCTCGACAATGCTGTTCATAGGGGAATGGATGGATGGCACAAACAATGATTTCCAGCAAAATCCAGGCAGATTTCTTGGCGTTCACAGCAATCCGCCAGTCCACTAGAGAGTTGTCGTTCATGAAGAGCTGAAAGGGAGATGTAAAAAATATTGACATTATTATCTTACAATGCTGTGAATTTGTGGTGAAAAGTTATTATCGTAATATTTACTTCTAAGTCATTTATGGTATGACTTTAACGTATTTGCAGGCTTGCTTTTCCATAATTTTCTTATTGCTATATAGAGATTTGTAGGTTAGCCAATAGAGAGAGCACACATTGGCTCAATACTGTCAATGCCTCTCTGCCAGGGGCGGACTGACAACTCATGGGGCCCCCGAGCAATAGGGGATCATGGGGCCCCTGTGTCCTTGCCCACACTCAAAGCACACCCAAAAAAGCCTATAAAAAAGGTACCAGGGGCATTTCATGGGGCCCCCTACTGACCCGGGCCGTCGGGCAGTGCCCGAGTGCTCGAATGGTCAGTCCGCCCCTGCTCTCTGCTTAAACGATAAGTTCACATTTTGGACAAAAATAATAAATGCACATTTTTTTGCATTTATTATTTGTAAATGCAAAAAAATTTAATTAATAAGCAAATATGGCTATACGGCATAGAATATCCCCAGAGTTAGTGAGTGAGTAAAGCTGGCCATACATTATGCAATTTTCTTGTACAATTTTCCTTTAGATTTACCAAAACCATATAAAATGAGGTCATACCTAAACACTTTCAATTTGAATGCAGTCAGGCAGACCCTTGTACTACATAGTTGAAGGTAAATCTAAAGGAGCTTGAATAAGAAAATTGTATAATGTATTGCCAGCCTTATGCTCGGAGTACTGGTCACTAACTGGTCAATTAACATATCCCCGTGATTCTGCCTCCTTGAAGCTAAGTTCACACTTTCTCAGAAAAACAATTTGTGTGGATCACTTTTCATAGTGTGGCTAAGCAGGCGTTCAGGAGGCAATACTGCTACCTCTCCAACGGCTGTTTTTTTTTTCTTTTGATTGCTTTTTTCAGGCAAGTGGCAACATTATATACAGTGCCTTGAAAAACTATTCATACCCCTTAAAATTTTCCACATTTTGTCATGTTACAACCAAAAACAAAAATGTATTTTATTGGGATGTTATGTGATAGAACAACACAAAGTGGCACATAACTGTGAAATGGAAGGAAAATGATAAATGGTTTTAATTTTTTTTTACAAATAAATATGTGAAAAGTGCATTGTGCATTTGTATTCAGCCCCACCCCCGGAGTCTATACTTTGTAGGACCCCCTTTCGCTGCAATTCCAGCTGCAAGTCTTTTTGGGGATGTCTCTACTAGCTGTGCATATCTAGAGAGGGACATTTTTGTCCATTCTTCTTTACAAAATAGCTCAAGCTCTGTCAAATTGGATGGAAAGCGTCTGAACAGCAATTTTCAAGTCTTGCCACAGATTCTCAATTGGATTTAGGTCTGGACTGTGACTGGGCCATTCTAACACATGAATATGCTTTGATCTAAACCATTTCATTGTAGCTCTGGCTGTATGTTTAGGGTTGTTGTCCTGCTGGAAGGGGAACCTCCACCCCAGTCTCAAGTCTTTTGCAGACTCTTAACAGGTTTTCTTCCAAGATTGCCCTGTATTTGGCTCCATCCATCTTCCCATCAACTCTGACCAGCTTCCCTGTTCCTGCTGAAGAAAAACATCCCCACATGATGGTGCCACCACGTTTCACGGTGGGGATGGTGTGCTCAGGGTGATGTGTAGTGTTAGTTTTCCGCCACACATAGCTCCTTCTTCCACGTTTGCTGTGTCCCCACATGGCTTCTTGCAAACTGCAAACAGGACTTCTTATGGCTTTCTTTCTTGCCCCTTTTCTATAAAGGCCAGATCTGTGGAGTGCACGACTAATACTTATCCTGTGGACAGATTCTCCAACCTGAGCTGTGGATCTCTGCAGCTCCTCCAGAGTTACCATGGGCCTTTTGGCTGCTTCTCTGATTAACGCTCTCCTTGCCCGGCCTGTCAGTTTAGGTGGACGGCTGTGTCATGATAGGTTTGCAGTTGTGCCGTATTCTTTCCATGTACAGGTGATTGATTGAAAAGTAGCCCTGAGGGAGAGCAATTGTTCAGACCCCTGAAACATGTTGCCTTTTTATTATTTCAATGATTTGTTAAATCAGGGGTCAGCAACCTGTAGATCTTGCCAGGTGACTGGTAGATCATGGTCTGGGCTTGCTCACCCGCCATCCCAGAGCATCAGAGTGCAATGTAGAGGGATTACTTGTAAAGTTGGAGCTGTAGTAGGGAGCAAGAGCCGCATAAGTTGATGTCTCCTCATAGTGCTGGCTCCTACGCCCTGTCATGGTTGGTGGGTGTAGCACCTACCTACCATGACCCATTCAAGTGACTCACTCTGCAAGTGCCCTGGGATTTTTGCAGTACAGCAAACAAGAGGTTAAACAGGCAGCGGCATGTTGCTTTCTCACCACCTGCTTTAACCCCTTGGACCCCGCAGAAGCATGCAGTTGCGGGATACTTTCAGAGTGGCCCCATTTACTTGAATGGGTCTCAAATGACAGGCGATAGCACCCACCAAAAGCAACAGGAGGTGTAATTCCTGGTGTGACATGTGTATTCCTTTGGCTGATGCCTCAGTAGCTAAAGGGGGTAGGGACTGGGAGCGATAAAACTGTAACTTAACCATAGGGTTTTACCCCCCCAACTTTACATGTGAACAAGACCTAGGAGTGCCACTGAGGACTCATTCACAAGTGCAGAAGACACTACTGCTCCTCTGCAGAGCAATCCAAGTGTGTTTGACAGGTGGTGAGGAGGCGATATGTTGCCTCCTCACCACCCAATTTAAATCCATGATTGGCGTGCAAAGCACGCAATTGTGACACAGTAGTACGGCAATTAGAGGTTTAAATCAGGTGCAATGAGGTGACACTGGCCAACAAGGTGCCTGGTGACCTTTGACTTCTCCCATGTTGTTCAGGTAGATCTCCACCTCTTTAAGGTTGCCTACCCCTGTGTTCAATGATTGAAGTTTCCTTTGACTCATTTTGCTGGCACTCTTCATGCTAACTTCGTCGTTCTGGACTCAGCACCCGACAGGAGTTCTAACCCTTCCTCACTCCATCCAAAACTAAAATGATTATCCTTCTTTCAGGATTTTTTATACTTGAGGATCTCTGGCTCTCAAATCTGCTCAATCAGCTTTAGTTAAAGGAAGGAAGATATGGCATTGCCCTATCAAAAGCACACACTACAAGCCCATAGGTGTGGCTGCCTGTACCACCCAAAGCCCAGCAACCACTAAATACAACACAATGTTTATACCACCAGCTGCCTTGCGCCCAATTTCAATAATATGATACAGACGGCATATACAGAACTCAGACTGAGTGACACATCCATGAAAAATAACCCTCCTGCCAAAATACCTTTGTGTGCCTCAGAATAGCCTGGAATGAGAAAAAAGCGACAGTTGGGTTTGAGTCACAGGGAAGAACTGGCGCTAATGTGGAAAGGCTTCATATGACAGATCAGGGCGTTTTGTTAAATAAATGTCAGCTGTATTTGTATCAGAATACTACCCAGCCTAAAAGTATGCTCCAATCTAAGAGGAAAAGCTACAAGTTTATGTTTTATATTATTTTTATATCCTCTTTTGATAATTTCCATAAAAATCTCCACTTACCCAATAATAACAAATTTGGGCTGCATCCATGATGCTCAGTTTGCAAAGCATGCTGTGAACAGCAGAGCATAGCCTGTATGTTGATATATTAAAGCGTTCCTGTGATCTGCACATTCACGAGGACGTTGCAAGTTAGCTCCAATGCCTTGAAAAAGTATTCACACCCTTTGAAATTTTCCACATTTTGTTATGTTACAACTAAAAACTTAAATGTATTTTATTGAGATTCTATGTGATAGAACAACACAAAGTGGCACATAATTGTGAAGTGGAAGGAAAATGATAAATGGTTTTCAATTTTTTTTTACAAATAAATATGTGAAAAGTGTGGCGTTCATTTGTATTCAGCCCCCCGGAAGTCAAAACTTTATAGGACCTCTCAGGGCTTCACGGAACAGCTGTATTTATACTGAGATTAAATTACACACAGGTGGATTTATATTTACTAATTAGGTGAAGGCAATTGGCTCCACTAGATTTTAGTTAGGATATCAGAGTAAAGGGGGCTGAATACAAATGCATGCCACATTTTTCAGATATTTATCTATAAAGAGGTTTGAAAACCATTTATCGTTTTCCTTCCACTACACAATTATGTGCCAGTTTGTGTTGGTCTGTCACATAAAATCCCAATAAAATACATTTGCATTTTTGGTTGTCACATGACAAAATGTGGAATATTTCAAGGGGTATGAATACTTTTTCAAGGCACTGTATATTCCCCCATCCTCAGCAGTATGTACCTCTGTTTGCTCTCTGGTTGGTTTTCTCAGTGCTGAGACATACTTGGTACTTCAGGGTATGGAGCAGTGTGAGACTCACTGCGTTGATTTCTCACCTGCAGCAGCTAGTACTTTTGAAATTTGTTCAGCTTTGCCGGCAGACAGATTTGAAGTTCTCACATGACCACATTTGTAGTTCACTGAGGCTTCCTCCAGCTCTCTAACTGAAAGCCCATACCTTGGTACACACCTAGACCTGGAGGAGGAGTCTGCAGGGAACTGGTATTGCACCCCCCATCCACTGATCACAGTTGCAATGCTTTGCAGGCTGATTTGCCAAAAAATAATAAATGCACGTTTTTGCTGCAAATATATGTTGCCGAGCAACTGCAACCAAGCCTTACATCACCAAGTGCAATGCAAAGCATTCAATGAAGTGGTGTAAAGCATGCCGCCACTGGACTCTAGAGACGTGGAGACGTGTTCCCTGGAGTGACCAATCACGCTTCTGTGTCTGGCAATCCGATGGATGTGTCTGGGTTTGGTGGTTGCCAGGAGAACGGTACTTGTCTGACTGCATTGTGCCAAGTATAAAGTTTGGTGGAGGGGGGATTATGGTGTGAGGTTGTCTTTCAGCGGCTGGGCTTGGCCCCTTAGTTCCAGTGAAGGGAACTCTTAAGGCGTCAGTAT